TCAAAATGTTTTTCAGACCGGGTTTAAGGAGTCGCTCACTTTTTCTGATTAGAGCTGAAAACACAACCATTTACCAAAAACAGCTTCATAACAGAGCATCTGCATCTTCAGTCTCTGCGCGTTATTCAAGTGTTTTGAAAACCTCTTACTGTCTAATGAGGTCATGAACAAGATGGAGCCTGCAGAGGAGGAAACTTACAGGAAGATGCAGAACATAATGGAGCAGAAAATCTGCTCCGAACCTCTTTGATTTGCAGGTTTTTTTCTGTTGGTTGAATTATGCAGGAAGGACATTTGTCACATTTCAACAATGGAAAAGCTACAAATAAAACAATAACAAGGCCTGAATTTCTGTTGTTGTTTTATGGCTCTGAAAAGACATAGCAGGTTGCTTCAGTAAATAATTCCTTAAAGGTTTTAGCAGATTATTTCGCTTATTATTGTTTTAATTTAAATAATCTGCCAGAAACACCAGCTGTTTTTCGTCTATATTAAGGATTTATTTACTTAAAAACAAGTTTCTATATCTTGCTGGAAAGTCACTTGTAAATTAGTTTTGTCTTATTTCAAGTGAACTAAGATATTTGGACTAGAAACTAAAACTACTTGGTAATATGTTGTTTTTGCAGTGCACAGCTTGTTGTTGCAGACTGATCATAGATTTTAAAACTCTGTGTCGTCATGGTGACCGATTGTTCATGTCAGTCCGACACCTGAATAACTCTGCTTACTTCCTTTTGATATCAAATCAGTGCCGCTACGTTAAGCTCCCTACAGGTGACGATGCTCCTCCTTAATCTTTTGGACATGATCCCTAACTGGAGGTCAAAGGTCAGGAAAGTAGATGATCCTTTAAATCAAGAGTGTTGCCCTTCCTGTCTGCTTTGTCTCCCTGCTGCCTCCCTTTTCCTGATTCTCAACCACGACTTTGGACATAGAAGAGCTGCTTGGAAATTTAATTCAGTTCAAAAATGCTTTATTTATCCCAAAGGGAAATTAAATACCATTGCATGGAAAAAATACCAGCCAGGTCATGATCAGGTTGAGGGGGTTTGGTGTGTTGCTAAACAGGAAACGCATCAGGGCAGAGTCTGCGAACAATTTTCTTTCTGCAAACCCAAAACAAAACCCACTTCAAAGTAAACTGGATGACGAAATAGTGTGTATTTGTGTCCCAAGTATTTGCTGCTTATGTGACTCAGAAATTCTCCTTCGCCTGCTGTTCAAGCTGGCAAAGCGCAGTGATAAAAAGCACCGATTTATAATTGTAGCTCTGATATATGTGGGTTACATCTTCATCATTTAATGCCCAGTACACAAGTAAGAAACTTTTTTTCTTCAGTAAAAAGTTAACATTAATTTTTGATGTGCAGTGACCAGAAATGCATGAATCTTCTTCTGTGATAAAAGTTTAACAAAAGACAGCATGGCTTCTTATGAACTTATTTAATCCACAGCTTGACTTTGAGATATTCCCATTTGATTGCAAAACAGCTTCAAGCCTCGTGCGTCTACTCGTCTGGCATGTCATGCAAAGAGAGAGCGAGCGTTAACTTTCAGCTTCAGAGGACTCGAGAGCTTTACTGAACACAGCCGAAAGTGTTCTTTTTATTCTTTCACAAACACTGGCTGGAAAAAAGAAAATCTCTGCAATCAGTGACTTTGACTGTGCCCTTATTCGTCATTTCATTACCACATATGCCAACTGTTGGCCTCATGATGGAAAGCTAAATGTCTTCTGAAAGGGACATTGTGGAGAGCAAATGGATAAAGAAAGTAAAACTTACAGTACTCTGCATTCAGCACTGTTTGGCCTCATTATAACCCCGAAATTCTCACTTTTCAGGTCCAACCAGGCAGAAGTCATTTGATTTGATTCATTGGTTTCTTCTCTGCAGCCCACTTACTGCAGCAGACACGCTGTCGGGTGTTTCCCTGTGAAACACAATGAACTGCAGCTAATCATGAGCTCCTCTGAGGTCAGAAAATCCTCCCACAAAAACATTCATGTCAGGAAAAGTTTTACTTTGCACATTTTGACAAATTGGAGAAGACGTGCATCTAAATGTGAAGATATTTAATGACTGCAAGTAATAATTTATTTACTGGAATATTTGTTTTTAACCTCAGTAAGAGATAAAACTTTGAAATCTGTAGCTTTTATTTTAAAATACCTTTTTATATTTTGTATGTTATGAGACACAATCTGTGAAAATATTGAGCTGCCCTAGAAACAACCAATCAGAGCCAGAAGGCGGGTCTTAGCGTTGTCAATCAGAATCTGGTGTGGCACTGCTCATTCTCCCTCTCGTTCTCCAGAGGTGGGTTTTGTATGAGATGCATAAAAACTGTATCTCATGTAAGAATAGCACAACTTCTACATATTTTTACTCAAGTAAAAGTAAAATGTAGCTGTCCAAGAAATTACTCGAGTACAAAAATATTTGGTAGAGTCTACATTTAATATTTAAAAGTTACTTAATATAAAGTTAAGTGGAAATTTAGGTATTTTAAACATCAAAAAGAAAATAATTCATATAAATAACACAATTAATTAGTAAATAAAGTCATACTGTCATGATGGGTCTGATACTCTTTGCCCACATGCAGAAACACCCGCGGAGAGGCTAGTGAAAAGTCCAAAGGTTTATTAAACACAAAACTCAGTTAAACAGATTTGTCAGGTCCTCCTCCACGGCAAAGGGATCCGGGTGCTACCGCTCACTGTATGAGAAGGAGATGATGAGTCTTGGGTGATGACAGGTGTACGGCTCAGGAATAATGAATCAGGTGATCTTACTTTAGGTGGTGTAGATTTGGATAGGAACGGGTAAGTCAGGCATCAGGCGGTGGATATTCTGAGAGAGTTGGAGGGCGGAACAGGTAATCCCAGACAGCACGGATATCCTGGAGGTGGGAAACTCGAGATCTCCTGGTAAACTCTGAAGGCGTCCTGGAAAAAGGATCACAGAGGTTAGTTAGGTCGCTAGATTACTCGAAGGAACAACTATGAAACTCAGCGTGACTTCTGAGGGCTCGGTGTACCAGTCAAGGCAAACACTCTGGCGAAGACGTGCTGGCAGCCAGCTGCTTATATACACCTCCAGGAGAAGGCAATTCCCTACAGGTGCGTCTGATTAGGACCTGCGGGCATGCCTCCAGGAACCTGCTGTCATCTGGCGCCCTCTGGTGGATGATCTGTAAAGGAAAATGGCGGACCCACCAGCCTGGTACCTAACACATACAAAACCTCAAATCAATTTGTTTCATTGTAAGACTTAAACAGAAACTGTATCTAGTGAATTTCTGGTCAAAACAAGTTTCTTCTTCATTCAGTGAAGTTACTCAAGTAAAGGTAAAAAGCAGCATGGTAAAAATACTCCTAAGTAATTTTTTTCTAAAAATGTACTAAAGTTAATGTAACTGAGTAAATGTACCCAGTTGCGACCCAGAGCTGTATTCCTCTCTGCTACGCTGCAGCTAGCATAGCATGTTTGTTTTTTTTTTCCAGTCAATAACGATGACACATAATGCTGCGGCTGGTTAGCATGATGGTGGATAAACGGTCTTCTTGTAACCATGCTTATAACAGTAAGTCGTTTCTCCACCATTAGCAGCTAGCGCTAAGCCCGCCTCCCGGCTCTGATTGGTTGTTTTTGGTCGGAAGTGATGCGTTTCTTCAGGCATTGATAAACTCTCAAGAAGCAGGACATCGATCTTTTTCACAGGTTATCTGTCTCATATGAAACTGTCTCGACATGGTGACAATTTTAACAAATATGTAAAATTATATATTCTTTTAAATATTGCAGTTTTAAGAGGTGAGCTGTTCCTCCCTTTGAGTTTGTCTCGCTGCGCTCTGCTTCCCCCTCCACGACCCGCTCATTATTGACGGCGCTCAGCGAAGTAGTCTCAGAGCAGCCGAGTGTGAGCCGGCCTGCCGCCCAATCTCCATATTAAGGACCAAAGGAAAGGTCAGCCTGGCCCCGTCTAAACAGTTATTGACAGGTCAGGAGTGATGCTGCGGGGCGAGAGGGGAGGAACGGTCAGTAACGCCGATAATTACCATACAGCTGTGAAACGGACACGCTGGAGCGTGAACGGACGGTGGGAAATGTTATGCAGGGAGCAGCTGAGGGCTTAATGCAGCGATAAAGGAAAGAGCAGCTACTGTGGAAAAGATTAAATGTAAAACTTTGTGGATTTTAGTGGCATATTTTATGTGTTTATTATGCAGAGAACTTCAGCCAAGTGAAATAGTTTTACCTGCAGAGTTTGGTGGAAAGAACGAGTGAGACAAAATGTGAGCTCAGCTTTATCTGCTCTGCAGAATATTAAACATATCATCAGGAAAGAAAACATTAATTCATACACTTAAAAGTCAACCAGTTTCTGTCTTTTAGACAACTTCAAATCTGTGATGTTATTCACAGAAAATATATTAATCTGTGGAAATAGCAGCAAAAACACAGAATATTGCCAAGTGTTTTTGGTGTAGTTTTTATGTAAATATCTTAGTAAATTTGAAATAAGACAAAACCAAATTGCAAGTAACTTTTCAGCAGGATGTAGGAGATAGCTTTAAGTCAACATTTCCTTAATATTGATGAATGAATTCCAGTTTGACTGGCAGATTATTTCATTTATTACATGGGAAAATGTCTTATTTTAACTGAAATAATCTCCCAGCGGAAATAGAAATTTTTAAAATCAATAGAAAGGCATTATTCACTTGAAATGAGTTCTTGCTGTAAAGCTACTTAATTTTTTTTTTTTTACATATTCTTGTTTAATAAAATCCTCTAAGTTGTTTGTTTTATAATAATCCCAACATAAAACAACAAATATTAAGTTAAATCATTAGAAGGTAAAAATAAATGACTCGTATTCATGCACAAGAGGACGACTCCTGTGCAAATATCATCAGATTTTTATGCAAAGAAGAAGTCCAGATATAATTTTAAACATTTCTTATAAAACTTGCATTCGTATCTCTGCAGATCCGTCGGTGCATCACAGGCAGAAGACGGTGGTGACGGACATGTGCTACCCGACAGAGATATCCAGCCTGATGGACTTTGGCACTGCAGACTGCTCGCTAGGCAAAGGTACATTGTTGCTCCAAATTACAAGGCGTTGCCGTGGTGACAGCAGGAAGTGAGCACGGTGATTTATCCTGGCAGTTAAAAGGACGCCGAGCTGTCAGCTCGGCTCGGGGGGTGAACTCCGGAGCGAAAGGCCTTCGCAGGCGAGAACAATCAGATAACAACACTTGGTGTCTGGCCATGAGGGCCCTTAGCATTCACCGCAGGCCCGGATTTATCTCAGCCCAGTGCCTAATCTGCTCTGTCACCTATTTCGCAGTGTCATATTGATCACCAGACGTCCACAGAGGGGAGTTTTGCTTTGCAGATCGGCGTGGAGTTCACTGAAATGCATCATTCTCCAGTTTTATCGTAATGGGCCGTTAGAGCGTCGCAGCAAGATCGCTTATCTTCCACAATTACCGGGAGAAATGCCGTGTTTTATGAGGAGTGAAGCTCAAGATGATGATGGCCTCTTTTCATTTCGTCTGCTGCAGTAATCGTCCCACCAGTATGCAACCACTTCACTAAAGTATTGATCACAAATCACTACTTCTGTTTGTTACGTAATCTTTAAGCTGCGCGTCCATTTCTTCTTCTCAACACAAAAACTCTCATTGTTAGTTGAAGAGCTTGAAATGCTTTTCCCTGCAAGAAATAGACAAAGATAGGCCAAGTTTATACTTAACGCCATTTTGATTATTTTATTTATTGAGGAAAAAATAGCCTGAATCTTACATGACTCATTAAGTCACTTTTACTATCCTCGTCTTTACGATCCACAAGACTTTTGTGAAAACATTTTGTGGGCCGATGAGACAAAGAGGAACTTTTTAGAAAGTTTGCATCTCCTTAAAACTAGAGAAACACTAACATTGTCATAAAATAAACCAAAACACCCCGGAAAGTTCATGTCTGAATAGCTGAAATAATAAAATAACCAAAACCTAGAGTGGCCTAGTCAAACTCTGGGATCAAACTGAGATGCTCTGGAAAAGTCCCCAATACACTGTTAATGATTGAAAACCTCCCAGTTTGAATGAATTAAACTGATAAAAAATTAATTAATGTGTCCACATCAGTACAAAACAGTCCTTATCATTTATGACAAACACTTGATGGACTTTCCTGGAGGTGTGACAGCAAGCTTGGCTTGAAAAGCTTTAAATGACGTCATTATTTGACATCTGATTTTTGTGTTTACTCAGGTTATCTTTATACGATATAAATATTTGTTTAATGCAAGTGGAGCGAAAAGTGGGTTCAGTGTCCGGCAAAAAATAGCTCGTCCATCATATTTTAAGAGACAAGTTCTTGCAAACCGGATTTATCCACTAGAAGAAACTCTAAAATTTACTTTTAATCTCATTTGGTGACATCGCAAGTCACACAGCGAACCTCAAACTTTTATAGCCTGATGTTCCTGCACAGGTTTTTACATCAGTTTTCAACTAAACTGAACCCGTATGTAACTTCTTGAGGTCTTTAGTCTGAACTGAATTCATTTCTGTGCCACAGGACAGAAAGACGAGCGTCTTATTATTTCCACACTGCAAAAACACAAAGTATTACCAAGTACTTGTGGTCTGGTTTCTAGTGCAAATACCTGAGTACACATGAAGTAAAACAAAACTAACTTAGTAACTTTCAGCCAGATGTAGGAACTTGTTTTAAGTCAATAATTCATCAGTTTTTATAAAAATGTTCAAGTTTCACGGACAGATTATTTCATTTATAACACTGGAAAATGAGTGAAATAATCTGAAATGGGATTAGAACTTTTTTCATCAATATCAAGGAATTATTTACTTAAAATAAGCTCCTATATCTTGCTGAAAATTTGCTTGTGAGTTAGTTCTGTCTTATTCCAAAACTAGAGAAAAAATACTTGGTGATATTTTTTTTTTTTTTTGCAAAGCAGGGTTAGATGTGACCCTAAAAACTAATTCTCGCTCTCCATGGCCTCCTTTTTCACCTGATTCCCCGTCTCTAACCCTGCTTGTATCTTAATGCCGCTCTCTATCAACACGCTGCAGCAGTGTTAATGCAGAGCTGCAGGTCAGCTGTGTGCCAATGATAGAGAGGAGCGCAGCGCAGAAGAAGACCGTTTTTTCAGGCTTTAAATATGAGCAAAGCAAATGAATGACACAGAGACACAGGGAGCTGAGCAGAAGCGTAAGGACACTGAGGAGTAGAAAATTTCAAACTGAGGAGGCGTCAGGATAAAAGCAGGACTGTGGAAAGGATTCAGCGTAGCTTAGAGGTCAGCTGCAGCTTGACGTTAAACATTCAAACAGCAACATTGGTCAAAAATGCCTCATTATGTGAACTGTTGCAACCAAACAGTTAAAGTTCTTAAAAACAGAGAGCAAGACATTCTGTGTAGATGATTTGTGTTAGTTTTATGTGTTCTGTATTTCATATTTTACTTGCAAGGGTTGTGAAATATTCTTTTTATTGGTAATCCCACAAAATAATAATGTAATAAAAATAATGACAAGTTTTATTGGTAAGACATTTTCATAATACTGGAAACATGTTGGTATGTGAATTCGATTTTATATTGCAAGAAGTCAAAGTGGAGCCAAAACCTTTTAAAAGATATATTAGTCTTAAATTAAATGGTACAAATACTGCTAAAAATGCAAGCTGGATCAATAATGATAAATATTGTGATAGACATATGTGTCTGATAGGATATTCAAAAATTTCACTGAGCTCTGACCCAGAACCGCATAGCATTCTGGGAAATGTAGGCAAAGGAGAGGCTTTAGCTACTCAACTTACAGCCAGCTAAGCAAGGTTGGTGGAATCGACTAACTCGCTCAGTCTTTGGTTACCTAGCAATTTGCTCACTCTTTGGTTACCTAGCAACTCGCTCATTCTTTGGTTACCTAGCAACAACCTGTTGAGTAACTGGCGCAGCAGCAGCAGCTTAAAGATTTTCCACTGTGCCTTATAGCTGCTTTAAAAAAAACAAAAAAAAAACGACACGGAGTGGAAACTGGAAGTATTTCAGATATTTTAAACAACAAACTAATGAATAATAATTGTCAATATTGACTGATATAAAACGCTTTTTCATGATACTTTTTCAACCCCAACTTCAGACTATCTTTAGGAGGAATAAATTATAATCTAGATTTTGCCACGTAAAAATGGTTTGTATGTGCAGTGTTGGAAAAATGTTGTGTTTTTATTCGTGGAGTCATAAGGAATAATTTGAGCAGGAACTGTAGCAATGTCCACATACAACACAGTTTAACCAGAGGCTTTGTGTTGCCTTTATAGAATAAAAATATGTTTGAAATTAATTCAGAAAAACTGTAGACTGATAGAGAAGAGGCGAGGTAATAAGTGTACTCTTCCTCCCACTGATTTACTAACTAACTAAATCGACATACCTGGAGCTCGATTATATTTATGTTGTTGTTTTAAGTGTTGTGTTTTACATTAAAACCTTTTTACTTTTACTTTTTCTCTATTTTTAACCCAAAATACATTTTTAAATTGAGCTGAATTAAAGCTTATGAAGAAGACATAAATTTTATTCATTGTGACAGTTTTACACAACCAAATTATAATTGACTTAAATAAAAGCAGAGAGACTTGTCAAAGTGGAAGTTGATTCATTGTTCAGTTTTCACAGACAGACTAAAAGTCGATGTAAATTTGGTCTAAACCAAACGAAAGACATTACAATGCCAGAGAAGTTCTTTATCGATTTTCTCGTTCCAGATGGTATTTATGAACCGTTTTCCTCGATAAACCGTGAGAGACAATGTTGAATGTTTTGTCACTTATTTACAACAACAAAACAATGAACATTTGTTCTGATCAGGTGAAGAAAGTTTAACTTTTTTATTTCAAGAAACAACAAAAGATCCAAATGTTCTATAACTTTATCATCTAAGTCATTAAATTGTAAATATTCTGTGCTGAATATGATAAGTTCAGTGCATCAGCAGCAGAGCTTCTGTTGCAACACTTTGTCTGGCAGTGATCCTGGAGCAGTCAGAGTGATTGGCAGATGCATTGCCTCATGCGACAACTATTTGGTTAGATCACATCTGATCTTTGAGTGAAGCTAAACATGTAGCAGCAGAAGTGATACTATTGCTGTAAACACCTGACAAGTCCACAAATATAAAGGATTTAACCAAAACTACTCCATGCACACGATTCTTCCCCGTTAGTATTCCAGCTGCGTCGCTCAAGTGCTTATAAACCCGAAACTCTGTTATGAGTTTTTATCTAGCTGTACCCTGCAGGCTGAATTAATTTTGCTTAAAACCACCTGCCTTTCCCTGCCTGCGGCAGAAAGAGGTGAAACGGCAGAGGAATAAGCTTATTTACTCTGTCCGCTCACATCCCGGCGCTCCTCTGACACGACACGGACTGACCTCAGTCAGCAACAAGCGGCAAAGCAATCAAACGCCCGCAGGGTTTAAGATAACACAGAAAGTCCATATTAATAAACACATCTCTGTGTGCAGACAGAGCTGAGGCGATTTGTTCTAAAGCAGGAGCTGCACATACATCTTTATCCGTACGGAGCTGTGAAAACGTATTTACCCGCGTAAGGACGTCTTTAGGTTTTGTGTTTTTGTCACACTGGTAACAAGATCAGGACTGTACTTGAAATCAGCCATAGATGGTCTGAATAAATACACAATGCAGTTTCAAATGAAGATTTCAGCTAATAAGAGGGAAAAGGCTATTCGAGCCAAACTGCCTCTAGAAGGGAATGTGATCTGAGTTTTACTAAATGGTTTCAGTTTAATTAAAGACTGAGTGATGAATCAGTTTTATTATTTAATAAAATCTTTGTTTTGTTTAAGATTTAATTTTTGGAATATCTGGATTTTTTTTTCCATCACTGGCTTTCCGTACGTCCAAGGCGGCCATCTTGCTTGACGGGCGTTATTTACAGCTTCTATTTATTTGGACTTTGAGTTGTTTTGTAATTTTTAATTGAAAATAAAGTCATTACAAGAACATAGTTGTTTAGTACAAGAATAAAG